GGCGTTCCCTGTTTTTTCGTTTTGTATATTGAACACAGAAACCTCTAACCACCATTTTAATCATGTCCCAGTATAGGCCTTTGTCGTCCAAGTAATTACTTTCACGGACAAATTGATTCAGGAAGAGGATAAAACTCTAAACCATTTCTCTCATTTCTGTTTCAATGGTAGCTTACTCTTCAAACCAATGTTAAATTGCTTACAGATGCGATTTTCTCCTTTGAAAGAAGGCCTACTGTATTGCCAGTTTTCATGTCACGTCTCATTTTCCAAAATTGAAATTACTAATCCTACTGAAAGTTTAATTATGTCAAATGTAAGACTCGCTAATGACTTGGCGTTTTACAACATTTAAGCAGGACCGCGTTCTTCATTTTGTATTAGAGCGCGTATGAATTTCCAAATTTATGTTTTACATGACATCAAATATGGGGGCCCGGGAAGGCTTTTCCGTAGGTCAAAAGATGAGTCATCGCGTAAGTTTTTGCTAACTGAACAGTTCTTGCTCCAAGAGAAGAATTAATTGTAATATTTTGGAGATCTGGAGTAATAACGTTTCGTTTAAATAGCAAAATTCAATGGCAGATGTAACGGTTACTTAACAGGCGCCATGTTTTTGTCCCTCCGAGGGGCACCAACATGGCATTTTTATACAAAGCTTCACAAATTTGGGTGAAACACTTCCCCAAATAACGCTCGAATGAAAAGCCGCACAGACTTCAATCTTGGTAAGATGTTTATATAACAATAATCTACCATATTCCAGATTCTTGAGTTAATTTACTGAATGGTTACGACTTTTATTTTTGATTGCGTGACAGTGCAAACTAGAAATCTTCCCATAAGTCATTTAAATCCAGCGCCATATTGTCTAAGAATAGAACCAAGCTCCCCGAAGTTATATTGCGGACATGTACAGATAATGAGGTACTGGGTAGAGGGGTCACCGATACCCTAAAAACACTGTCTCCAAGGTCTTTTCCCAAAAATATTAAAGACAAATCAGCGGAAGCATAATTACTACGGCGAATTTTCATAGTCTCGACACGTGATACAGCATAACAAACCTCTGCTCACTAAATTTAATGAGTAAAGTATAGGGGTTTTGGTAGTGATTATAACGTCGGTTTCATACATTACCCAATCTTCTTTCTAAACTCGGAGTCTGCCAATTCGACCTATGGCGTTCGGTTTGAGCGAGCAGTTACAGTCAAATTTATCGGAATTGGAAGTTTGATTTTTTAGTGAAGTCACAACGCGACCAGCTCGCAGCTGGCTTGAGAGCTCAGTTGGTAGAGCACTGCACCGGTATCGGAAAGGTCATAAGTTCGAATCCCATTCAAGCCTGAATTTTTTTCAGGCTTTAATTTCACAGCTGCTTAAGTTGTATATATAACTGCGATGATCAATCATGTCTTAATATCTTTGTCCAAAGTTCAAATATATGAATTTCATATATTCACTTGTAAATTGAGAGATTGTTGTTGTGTTATGTCCCACAGGGACTAAGAGCTAACTAAGTTATTATTATTATAGGATGATAAATTTAGTAAGTAAACAGTATTCTGCCCTTAGGTTCCCACTTAAAATTTATAGCGACTTTTCTACCTTCTCACTGGTAGCAATTCAACTCCCAGATACTGACACTTCACAACACCGCACTCCAACTGAATGGAATTAAACCAAGCTGAAGACCACAAGTACGCACTGCGGACCTATGTTTTAGACATTGGTGTCAAGAAGACATAGCGCTGTTGATCGCGTCCCCCGCTCAATTCCTACCGCAAACGAACTTGATAGTGAACCTCTGTACTTTGAGAAATAGCGCGAAAAATTCGGAAGCCTTAATTTTGTTTTTAGGGACCGTTCAT